CAATCAGTCCATAGGAAAGCATTTCTCAATGCTTTCCTTTTTTTTTTTTTTTTTTATTCTTTATTTTCATTACACATGTGATCACAATATTAACGACAGACGCCACAACAGCGTATGTGTACATATTTAAACAGTAGCATCAACTGTAGCGCATTCTTGTTTGTGGTTACATGCACAATTTTTAACCAGTGGACTTTACAGTTGCAACTGATACATGTCTACAGTTCAGGTGTATCAAGGTTGAAGCAATTAGCTCTATATGCTGGCTTAAGTTTCACTTTTAAGGCGTGAAGGTGATTATGCCATGTTCTATATTCTGGCAGCATCATATTTAAAGAGCTAGATTTTCCACAGTTATATCGTTAGTATAATGGTGAGATACACTTAGAAGGAATTGTTCAACCCGAACGGTCTGTACCAGCGCAGACATCGTGTTCACGTCTTATTGTACCCTATGACTGTCCTGTTAGACAGCATGTCAACAGCAAGTAATCCTAATTCTATAACCGGGGACTGGTAGGTCCCAACTTCTTAGCCAGGTCTGTGGCTTGCTTATTGCTGCGTCTGGGGAAGGGTGGGGGGGGGAATATGAGGGTTGGGGAGGTGAAGGAGGGGGGGTGTATGCGTTGCCACTGGGCAGTCTTGGAGACGGCCCTGAGCAATTCGAGTTCTCATGATGTTGTGGTATTGTCTATGTATTTGGACCAGGGTTCCCATGCGGAGGCATAGTGGGCGTATTTATCATTCATAGAGGCTGTCAGTTCCTCCATTATTCGAATAGACTCGACTTTCTGGAGCCATTCCCTCACCGATGGTGCCTTAGAGGCCTTCCAATGCACTGGAATGAGGAGGTTGGCCGCCGTGAGCAGGTGGGTCGTTAGGACCCTCTGTGGTTTGGCGATGGGGTCTGAAAATAATAGGAAGAGCATTGTCTCCGGCTTGAGTGGTATGTTCCCCCCTGTTACAGTGTTAATTATCTCCCTCACTCTCTTCCAGTAGAGTTGTATGGTTGGGCAGTGCCACCAAATGTGAGCTGTTGTTCCTCCCAATTGCCCGCATCTCCAGCATGTATCTGGCATGTGCGGGAAGATACGTTGTAATTTAGTGGGTGAGTAATGCCACCTCGAGATTTTCTTGTATGTGCTTTCCTGGATAGCAGTGCTGACGGAAGATCTCTGTATGCCCTGAAAGATGGTACCCCAGCCCCCCTGGGTAATGTTAGTGGAGAGTTCCCTATTCCATGTTTGTGTGTAATGTGGCATTTGTCCCTTAAGCTCCCCTTGAATCATCTTATAGAAAATCGATAAGTGTTTGCTTTTGAGGGATTGGGATGTACAATATAATTCATATGTTGTGAACGTCCAGGAGCCAGCTAGAAGTGATCACGAGGATTGTATGTAGTGTGTCAATTGCGCATATTTGAAGATCTGCAGTGTCGTGGGTCGTTCTGGTCCCATTAGGGATTCGAGCGGTTTGACTGAGCCGCCCTCTAAAACTGTATGGAGTCTCAGATAGGGTGTTTCCTGGGGTATTTTTAAGAAGTCAAAGGAGTGGTTCGGCAGCCCGGGTTGGAACTGTATGTTTCCTGTTAGAGGATAGAGGGGGGATGGGTGAGGGGATATTGAGGTCCCCTGTCTCAGGAGCTTCCAGGCTCGGAGTGTGGGTGTAATGGTGGGGTGACGGGATTGGTGTGGGGATAGGGATGTAGATCCTGTGTTTAGCCATGGGATCCCTTGGAGCGGGGTTGTGAAAAAGGTTTTCTCCAGTTGCACCCATTGTAGTTGCGGGCGTGGGTTGGCCCATTCATATATCCTTGTGAGGATGGTCGCTTTGTGATATAGCTCTATGTGTGGCATCCCCAGTCCGCCTTGGCTTTTAGGTTTTGTGAGTGTAGCGAAAGCTATTCTGGGGTGTTTGTCTGCCCATATACATTTGGTGAAGAGGTTCTTGATCTTTTGGAAGAATGATTTGGGGATGTGGACTGGTAGTGTTTGTAGAAGGTATAACAGTCTTGGGAGCGTGTTCATTTTTAGGATGTTGATGCGGCACAGCCATCCAAAGTGGGGCTTGTGCCATTTAGTCAAATCTATTTCTATTTGTTGGAGGAGTGGGAGAAAGTTGATGTTGTATGTGGTGGCGAGGTTATGTGGTAGGTGTACACCCAGGTATTTGATGTTTGCTGCAGCCCACGAGAAGGGGTATTTCTCCTTTAGTGTGGTTTGCAGTGGCTGGGTGATTTTCAAGGGCAGGATCTCGCTCTTGGTAAAGTTAACTTGGAAGTTGGATATCTTATTATATGTGGCTATCTCTTCTAAGAGTGGCTGCATGGATGTGCTGGGGTTGGTTATTGTAAAGAGTAGATCGTCAGCGAACGCTGAGATCTTGTATTCCTGGTGTCCCACCCGGAAGCCTGTGATATCTTTGTTATCCCTAATCCCCTGAAGGAATGGCTCCATCGTAAGGATGAAGAGGAGAGGGGATAGGGGGCACCCCTGTCTCGTGCCGTTCCTTATATGCACTGGGTTTGACAGTTGTCCGTTAATTTTAAGTTTGGCCGTGGGGGTGGAATATATAGCCCCAAGCCACTTGTCCCAATTTGGCCCAAAGCCCATAGCTTGCAATGTGGCTCTAAGAAGGGACCAGTCTACTTGGTCGAATGCTTTTTCGGCATCGACCGAGAGCAGGAGGCTGGGTAGATTGTGAGACTGAGACAGATGGATGAGGTTGAGAAGTTTTGTCGTGTTGTGCTTTGCTTCCCGTCCTGGGACAAAGCCCGCTTGGTCTGTGTGTATAAGGTTGGATAGTAGGGGGCATAATCGATTTGCTAGAATTTTAGTGAAAATTTTTAGGTCCACATTGATCAGTGATATTGGGCGATAACTTCCACAGTTGGTGGGGTCTTTTCCTGGCTTTGGCAATAGAGTAATATGGGCCTCTAGAGCAGGAGTCTGTAGGGCTGGGGTGTCGGTGAGGAAATTAAAGGCGTCTAGAAAGGGATCTGCCAGTATGTCTCTGAATGTTTTGAAGTATTTGGCCCTGTAACCGTCTGGGCCCGGGCTTTTCCGCAGGGGCAAAGAGCTCACTACTTTAAGGAATTCGTCTCTCGTCAAGGGGCTGTCTAGGGATTGCAGTGCTCCACTGGGGATTTTTTTATGCACCCTGGGAGTCAGGAAGCGTTCAATGTCTGTTGCCAGCGGGGGGGAGCTCCTGAGGTTGTATAGTTCTGAGTAGAACTTGTGGAAGGCTTCCATTATATCTGGTAGGGTTCGTGATATGCCTTTTTCCGGGTGTTTAACCTTTGCTATGAAAGTTGTTTGTCTGCTTTGTTTTAATGCAGAGGCCAGGAGGCGACCGCATTTGCCTCCGGAGTAGAAGTAGGAATGTTTGGTGCGTAATAGTGTGCGTTGGACCTGTGTGTTTAATATTTGTTGTAGCTCTGTGCGCTTTGCGAGCAACGCCTTATATGTCTGGAAGGCGTCCTTACTGTGGTGGGCCGCCTCCAGGGCCCATATGTCTTTTGTGAGGGATGCAATTTTATTGTCTCTCCCTTTTTTCTGTGTGGAGGCTATGGCTGTCCCCGAAGCACACACTTATGTGCTTCCCATGTTATTGGGGGGGAGGTTTGCTGGGAGGAGTTCTCTGTGAAGTACTGTTGAATGGAAGTGTGTATTTTTTCAGTCACTGATTTGTCATTTAGTAGCAAGTCGTTTAATTTCCATTGGTAAGTTTTTAGGGGAAGGGAGGGTATATGAACGGCAAGAGACAGGGGCGCATGGTCTGACCATGTGATAGGGCCGTAGGAGCATGCTGTCACTAAATGCAATAACCGCTGAGGTAGGAAG